AAACACAAACAGAAACAAGACACATACACGACAAACACAAACACAAACACAAACACAAACACAAACACACACACACACCAACCACGAACACGAACCCGAACCCGAACCCGTGTGCGAGTTCACTTGAAATAGAATTTACCATAAATGAAAGCAGTTACATCAAGTATAACTCTAATTGAAATAACAATGAATTGCCTTCACCTTGGGTTGAAGTCATGGTTCGGTCGCCTTTGTCCTCCATTGCATACAACAGGCTCAATCCCCAGGTTACGTTATGGGGAAGTTGCTTTGTGATGAAGTCGTCTACAATACCAAATAGTCATCTTGCGACAACGAACATTAATGCTCGGAGAATTGGTAATGTACATCGGCGAGCAACGAATAGCATCAAGCGGTGAACGGTTAGAAATTCCAATACAACTACTAGCATGGAAAAGGAAAAAAATTTACAAATTTGTCATATAAAATTCTAATCCAACTAACAAACCATATCCATTGATCAAATATTAGTAAAACACAATCTAAAAAATAAGACAAAAAAAAAAATAAAAAATAAAAAATTAAGAACAACTATATATAAACATAAATTAAAATAGTTGGTTTTTTGTAGCAGTAAGCCACAAAAGATTCATTTTTGGAAACAAACGAAAAAATGAAAACCCCAAATTTAAGTATTTGAAAAACAAAATAAGAAGAAAAAAAATAGTAAGAGAATACCAATTTATTAGCAGGCTTCAAGTTTCAATAATTCGGTGTGGGCGTCGGTGGAGGTGCGACGGCGGAGATGGCGTCGGCGAAGGGAGTAGCTGGGCGTTGGTGTGGGCTCCTAGTGCATCGGCGAAGGGCGGAAGGGGGGTCGGCGAAGGGCGGAGGTGGCGTTGGTGTGGGCTCTTGGTGCGTCGGAGAAGGGCGGAGGTGGGGTTGGCGAAGGTCATCGGTGCCGTCGGCGAGTGTTGGCAGAGGACTGTGAGAAAGTAGAGAGAGAGAGGGGGTAAAGGAGATAGGAGAGAATTAGGGCTTAAGGGTTTTTTTTAATTTATAAATTGCGACTTTAAAATACACAACGTCGCAAGCTTGAACTAAATTTGCGATTTTTATCTTAAATCTGCGACTTTAAAATAAAATTTCGCAAATAATGTCGCAAAATCCCGATTCTACTTGCGACGTTTACAAAAAAAAAGTCGCAGTATAATTTTATTAAAAAACAATTAATTTTTTTTTCCATTGCGACGTATTAGTATATTATCGACGCACGTTTGCGACGATAATAGATTTTTCGTCGCAACAATTGAACGGAAATTTTAGAACTTAATTTTGCGACAAAACGTTGCGATGAAATTATTTATCGTCGCAATAATTCTTATAAATTTATTATTTCCAATTATTTGCGACGAATTTCTATAAAATAGTCGGAAATCGTGCGACAAATATTTTTTCGTCGCAATAAAAAAGTCGCCTGAAATGCATTTTGACCTAGTGGCGGCGCAAGGCGGTGGGGAGTAGAGTTGGCTGCGGAGAGTTGTGTGCCGAAGAGAGATAGTGAGTTAGAGAGAGAAAGAAGAAAGAGAGAGGGAGAAGGAGAGAGAAAGAAGTGTTAGAGAGAGAAAGTGAGTTGGAGAGAAAAAGAAGAAAGAGGGAGGCAGAAGAATGAGAAAAAAGGCTGACTAAATTTGTGGAAAGATAAAGAGTGGGTTAGGGTTTGAATTGTAACTAAAAGGGTAAAATAGGTATTTCAATTTTTCCAGAGGGGTCTGTCAAATTAAGATTGAAATTTGGGTTTTTGACTAGGAAATAAAAATCCATAGGACCTATCCATATATATTTTCAAAACTAGGGATATCCCACATTTCCCCTGATATTAAAAATAAATATAATACTGTGTAATACAGTATATTACTGAGTTACAAAGAAATATGATAGTAACATTATTTTGTTGACCTTCCAACAGAACCAAATAAAAAAGTAGAAATCATTAATATTATTTTATTATTTTAGATAATAATGTAATTGTGTTGACCGACAAAGTAAGGACAAAAAAAATTGTAAGGGAAAAAAATCCAACCAAAAATAAAATTTCAAATAAAAAAAACGTTAACATCGGAGATCAACGTTACAGAAAAAAAGAATTTTAAAAACACTTGAACCTAAAATAATAAAGATAAGTGGTATTGACCTCTTCGCAAAAAAAAAAAAAAAAAAAAAAAAAAAAAAAATGAAAGAAGAAAATATATTTGTAATAAAAGATGTGGATTATTAATCGGAAAGAGTGGAATAAATTAGGTTGGTTGATATTGAATGCCTATAATGTGGTATTAAATATTAATAATTTGTAGGAAAGGATAATGCGTTACCGAAATAAGAGTTCTCCCCGAGTCAAACTCCTTGGACATAGGACATGAAAAACTCGTTTGTTACAACTGACAACACACACCATAAAACACACAATTCCTACAGGAATAAGGATCGGATCACATAATTTGTTTTTGTTGAAAAATAATATTCAAATCAAATCAAATAATAATAATAAAATATCAAACAACATGGTATTGAGTGATGATAGTACGATGTTGGTGTCCGATGCGACAGACTACAAGGGTGCTCCTGCTCATAAGTCCACCACTGGTGGTTGGCTCTCTGCCGCTTCAATCCTCAGTAACAACCAACCACCTTAATTACTCATTATTAATTTTTTTTTTTAATGACACAAAATTCTGTATGTTTCCATGGGATTCATTTTTAATTCTTGTCCCTTTTGCTCTCAATTAATTCTGTTGATGCATGTTTATTGTTTAATAATTAATTAATGTATGTATGAATGAATATATGTTTTCATAAGATGAGAGAATAAATCTTTTGATTGATTCTTGTTCTTTCGGTTTAGGATGAATTGTAGGGGAATGTAGGTGACACAATAGGATCAATATTCTTTTTTCTTTTTGTATTTATTTTGTTGGGGGTTGAAAATATATATATATATATATAGGTGTTGAGCTTTGCGAGAGGCTGTCGACAATGGCAATAGCGGTGAACCTAGTGACATATCTTCAAGGCACACTGCATCTGCCGAGTGCAGAATCGTCGGCCGTAGTATCAAATTGGGGTGGAATTTCTTTCTTATTAAGTCTTTTTGGAGGCATACTTGCAGACTCTTTCTTAGGCAGATATTGGACTATTGCTATTTTTTCTACTGTTCATTTCCTGGTAACTACTACATCTCTTCATTCTCTTCACACACACACACCCTTTTTCTATGCCATCAATCATTAATTATATATTTGATGCAGGGATCGTGCTTACTAGCCCTTTCGACAGTGTTTCCAAAGTTGCGGCCACCTCCATGCAATCCTTCTTTGTCCAACAATTGCATACAAGCCAACGGCCTTCAAATGGCTGTTTTTTACATAAGTATATACACTGTTGCATTAGGACTCGGCGGTATTAAATGCAGCGTCTCGGGTTTCGGTACAGATCAGTTCGACCAAAAGGATGATAAGGAAAAGGCTCAAATGGCATCCTTTTTCAATAAGTTCTACTTTTTCATCAGCATTGGGACACTTATTGCAGTTACGGTGTTCATTTATATACAAGACAAGGTTTCTAGAGTGTGGGGTTACGGAAGTTGCTCCGTTATAATGTTACTTGCTCTTGTCCTGTTTCTTTCTGGTACTAAAAGATATAGGTACAAAGCATGCCTTGGTAGCCCCATTGTTCAAATTTTCCAGGTTTTGGTCGTTGCTGTAAAGAAAAGAAATCTTAATTACACATCTAACGTCGAACAGTTGTATGAAACTCATCCCCAAGAATCAAGAATACCCCGTACCTGTCAATTCAGGTACACAAATTTAATTTTTTTTCATCGATATTAAAAAAGTAATAAAAATTAAAACAAAAAAATGAATTTGGCAGATCTTTGGACAAGGCAGCGATCATAGACGATGGAGACAAAGACACGATGATAGAATCTGGAACACCGAATCCATGGAGACTATGCTCAGTGACAAAAGTGGAAGAGGTTAAAATGATGGCAAGATTACTACCAATTTGGACTACAACAATTATGTTTTATGTGATTCATGCACAGATGATAACTTACGCTGTGCTACAAGCTTCCACCATGAAAAGGTCAATCGGTACATTTAATATACCAGCCGGCTCGTTTAATGTCTTCTTCATCGGTTCTATACTTCTAGCTCTTGGCATTCATGACCGTCTAATCGTCCCTCTTCTCAAAAAGAAGAAAGGGACTCTAGGTATTAATTATATTTATTCTTCTACCATTTTTTTTTTGTGTTCAAACAAAAAATAAATAATTAAAAACAAAAAAATTCGATATTTCCAACAGGTTTGACGAAATTTCAGAAGATAGGCGTAGGACTCTTTATTTCAATATTATCGATGGTTTTTGCGGCAATAATAGAAACAAAAAGACTGAAAGTTGCAAAATCAACGAGCAGGGCAGTTTCGATACTACCAATTAGTGCATTTTGGTTGGTTCCGCAGTTTGTTTTGGCGGGTGCGGCCGAAGGGTTTGTGTACACAGGGCAGATTGATTTCTTCTTAACAGAGTCACCAAAAGGGATGAAAGCAATGAGTACAAGTCTATTTCTGACGACTATCTCATTTGGTTTCTTCGTTAGCAGTGCATTGATTGCTATCATAAGGAAAGCTACTCAACGAGGCGGTCATAATTGGCTTCCTGCTAATCTTAACAATGCTGATGGCAAGTTGAATTATTTTTACGCTCTTGTTGCTTTATTGAGCGCCATTAATTTGGGCTTCTATCTCTACTGTGCTAAATTGTTTCTCCGCAAAAAGAGACAGATTGACCTCGCAGCGAACGCCGCCGCGAATACTCAGTAAATACTCATGACACAACGCGTCCGATTGAATTTGTATTTATGTATTTTTCTTTTTTTACAAACTTTAGATACAGAATTATATGATTTGGCAGTTGGGGAGAAGAAATTTGTAGTTAGTCCTTGTACTCGCTACAATATTCGGTAGTTTATACGACTGAAAAGCCAGTTATACTTTTTCATATTATACATTGCACATACATGAATCATGTTCCAGTCTAATTTCTAGCTGCTCTTAAATCTCATAATATTATAATACTTGGCTAATTAACAATCTAATTTCTAGCTACATTCAAATTTCCAATTGGCATTAAATTTAATTGAAGATATTACAAACAAGTTCAACACAAATTTATCAATCCAAATGCATTAAATTATTAATAGACATTGTTCAGTACTAATTCGCAATCTGCACAATCATTTTCCCGATATTATGACCGCGAAAGAGACCTATAAAAGCAAGAGGCACAGTCTCGACACCGTGATAAATGTCAGAAAGGGCGTGCATTTTGCCATTGCGGAGATGGTCTGTGGTGGTTGAGATGAAATCAGAGTAGCAATTCAAGTAATCAGCTGCCAGAAAACCTTGAATTGTGATCCTCTTGTACACAACATCCAGCATATCGAGACTCGCCCCTCTGCCCCCACCCGTGTATTCAGATATTGCACCGCAAACTGCCACTCGTCCGAATGTGTTCATGTTACCTATTGCTGCCTCCAGCATCTCCCCTCCTACATTGTCGAAATACATGTCTATGCCCTTTGGGAAATACCTGTTCCCAAATATATTTATTAATTATTAATTACTTGTAAGATATTTATCACTATTTTTTACTGAAAGATCATATACAAACTCAAGCATTAAGTAATTAGGTACATCTCATAACCTTTTAAGAGCTGAATTGAGATCGGTCTCATCCTTGTAGTTGAATGCATCGTCGAAACCAAGCTTTTCCTTAAGCAGATCAACCTACATACATATATAAATAAAACAAAATTAATAGACTGCGTCTGCGCGCATAAAGAATAATCAATCAATTAATGATAATGTAGATATATGCAAGTAAAGATCATTTTCTAGATCGACAAAAAGTAAAGATATTAATAATACCTTTTGTTGGGTACCAGCACAGCCAACAACATGGCAACCAAAGAGCTTTGCATATTGTCCAACTAAACTCCCAACAGAACCAGAAGCAGCCGATACAAACACGCTCTCTCCCTTCTTTGGTTTACATACTTTATAAAACCCTCCATACGCTGTAAGCCCACTAAATCCAAGAGTGCCTACGTAATGCGACAAAGGCAATGCCTCGTCAGCATCCAACTTATTCAACAGCCTGATGCCTTCTTCTTCAGCTGCTATTACGGTGTACTCTCCCCACGTCAGCAGTCCGGCCACTAACTCATCCTTTGCCAAATCCGACCTCCCCCCGGACTCCACCACTCTACCTACGCCGTACGTATCAATTGCCTGTAATATTATATTCAATTATATATAATTAGAAAGTGTATATGTATTATGTATATGTATATGTATATGTTACATACATGGCCGGGGATTATGGGGGCGGCAAAACTAATGGCTGACTGAGACGAGCTTTGAGCCTTCATTCGGTTGAGCTGGTACGGATCGACCGATACATAAAGATTCTTAACGATCACATAATATTCTTTACTTGTATTTCTGATTGCTGGTAAACTTATTGTTTCAGTCTTTATTTCGAAATCTGACTCACTTGGAGCACCATTTATGTGACCTTTTATTGCTACGAATTTGTTCCTCACCTCCTCCATTCTTACTTCTGCTATTAATTTTAAGACATGAGTTGAGTCGCATCTTTTATTTATATGTTTGCTAAAAATGAATTATATTTGGTAGGGAATATGCCCTCATGACTTTGTTGCCGCTGTGCATTTGGCTGTGCATGACCTTCCTTTTTTTAATTAATTAATGCATTTTATCACAAAAATGCAAATTCAGTGTTCAATTGTATTTTTACTTGGTCGAATTAATGGAATCTTGTGAAAAAGAGACTCGTTCAAATAATTACAATGTGTTGAATTCATCGCCACTAAAAGAGAATAATTATTATTTTGGCCGCAACTCCCAACAACCATTCAAATCAAATTAATAATTGGTCACACAATGACAAAATGGAATTATGAGACGGGGTACGAGAATTGGACTATTATTCTCTCACACTTTGCCTCACGGGCGAATATTTAAGAAACGAAAATAGCAATGTTGTTAGAATCGGACCGAATCGGCCGGTTAGACCGGTTCGACCGTGATCGGGTAATAAAGCGGTTAGGTGACGTCTAAAATCAGAAAAATCGAAAACCGGGGTCAAATGACCAAAATTCGGTTCGATCGGGTCAAATCCGAGAATCGACGAGTCAGTCAAAGAACCCAGTTTTCGGCCAAAACATCTCCAATCACCGCTGAGTTGGTTATTTGTGGTTAGATTTGAGTGAAACTTCACATACTTAGTAGTGGGTGACCGGATCTAGTCACGAGTAGTCGAAGGATTGTCGGAATGATCATGGGTGATCGAATAGGGGTGGCCGATTGCCAGATTTGACGAATAAAAAATGGAAAAATATTGAGTATAAGCAATAAAATATAGTAAAAAGTGAGATGAAGTAGATAAAAGTGAAAATAATAAGCGGGAGATTAAAAATATAAAGAAAAAAATATTTTTAAAACATTAAAATTAATAATATAATACCATATTAAAAAGAATCAAAACCCCGGTCGAATCGGTTCGACCCAATAAATCCATGCGTCGTCACGTTCTATAACCGATCCGGTTCTGAAAACATAAATAAGTCAGCTGTATTAAAAAAAAAAAAATAAATAAAAAAAAAATTAATAATAATAATAATAATAATAATAATAATAATAATAATAATAATAATAATAATAATAATAATAATAATAATAATAATAATAATAATAATAATAATAATAATAATAATAATAATAATAATAATAATAATAATAATAATAATAATAATAATAATAATAATAAAAAGTCCACACATTGTCCAGGGGTTTGAAAAAGACTAAAATAGCCCCTTACATTTTAATATGCTCCAATTTCATCTTTTAATTAATTTAAAATCATTTTGACACCAAATTTCACAAATTCTTCAATTTTGACCCAAAACGCAATTTGAGTACAATTTCGTCCGTCGTCGCCGTTAACCGCCGGTCTCTGGTGTTGACTTTTTCTTTTTGATATTTTTTTCTTTAACATCTTTTTGCCCTGTTTAAACAACAATATTGTTGTGGTTGACATCAATATTAACTATATTACTGTTAAACACAGTAATATTAACTATACTACAGTTTAACATAGTTTTATAGCTGTATTAATCTCTAGAATGGTAATATTAATACAACAAAAGTCATTATTATTGTGTAATAGAGTAATAGTAATATGTTTACCGTTTAACAAAGGTAAACATAATAAAAAGTCAAAATAATTAATATTGATGTAGTTGACAATAATATTACAGTAATATTACCATCAACCTCACATTTTAATATGCTCCAATTTCATCATTTAATTTAATTTAACATCAATTTGACCAAAAATTTCACAAATTATTCAATTTTGACCCAAAACGCAATTTGAGTACAATTTCGTCCGTTGTCGCCGTTAACCGCCGGTCTCCAGTGTTGACTTTTTCTTTTTGATTTTTTTTTCCTTTAACGTCTTTTTGCCCTGTTTAAACAACAATATTAACTATATTACTGTTAAACACAGTAATATTAATTATACTACAGTTTAACACAGTAATATTGTTATATTAATCTCTAGAAAGGTAATATTAATACAACAAAAGTCATTATTACTGTGTAATAGAGTAATAGTAATATGTTGACCGTTCAATAAAGATAAACATAATAAAAAGTCAAAATAATTAATATTGATGTAGTTGACAATAATATTATAGTAATATTACCGTCAACCATGGTAATATTATTGTGTTTACAGTAATATTATAATATTATACAATAATATTATTACGTTTCTCCGTCAACAACTCAAACAAAACAAAAGGCCCAAAAAATAATAATATTGATGTGGTTGACAGTAATATTATTGTGTTTACAGTTATTTTGCAGTCAACGACAGTAATATAATTACGTTGAGTTGTCGACAAATCAAACAAAAAAAAGCCACAAAAATAATAATATTGTCGCTGACTCTAATAATTGTACTGTCAACGACAATACAATTAAGTAAAAGTAATGTCAACGATAGTATAATTACTGTTAATGACAGTACAATTACGGTCAACGTTTAGCGGGTGGGTAAAAATACGAATAAAATTTTAGGGAAAAAAAATTACAAAAAAAAAAGTCAACGCCGAAAACCGGCGACGGAAAACGTAGACATAGAATAAAGAAATCGAAAAAGTTAAAGCCGGAAACCGGCGGCAAAAAAATAATTTCAGGAAAAAAAGTTTAAGAAAAAAGTCAAAATTAGATTTTGTGGTCAAAATTGATTAAATTTGGTTTACAATTAAGAATTGGGTGCAAAAGACTTGGGGGTAATTTTGTCATATACATTAATTTTTTGGTTTATTGGCGAAAGAGATATAATCATTAACCTATCTTATTAACAAAAGAAAGGTTCCTGGATAAACCCTAGAAAACCGTAAGGTCGATTTTTTCCGCTCATTTGGAGCATATCTTATAATGGAATTAAATTTAATTTTCTAATCCAATTTTTTTCATATTATTAAATTTCGTATAATCTAATAATGGGTAAATTACAAACACCCCCTGAGGTATGGTCAAATTACAAATATTAATTTCTACTAATTCTTTAACTAATCTTCTAAATACATGCATAATTCTAAATTAATTTTCCATATAATCTAATAATTAAACACATAATTAAATATTAATTTCAATTTTATTATTTTATTATTTCAATTTTCATTTAAACTAATTACGTATCTTTTAATGATATATTATTGTGGGGTGAATTCTTTTATACCATTTATTTATTTTTTTATTTCAATTTTCATTTAAACATTATTAATTCAATTTTCATTTAAACTAATTACGTATCTTTTAATGATATATTATCGTGTGATGAATTTATTATTTTTTTATTTCGATTTTCATTTAAACTAATACTAATGATATTTTAATTCTAAACTAATTATGTTATTTTTTCCCACACCAAATCTAACGTATCTTTTATTATTATATTATTTTCATTTTATTAATAAGATTATTTCAATTTTATTTTTTTATTTCAATCTTCATTTAAACTAATTTTAATGATATTTTAATTCTAAACTAATTACATTTTTTAAAGGAATTATCCAGATTTTTTTCCCACACCAAATCTACATATCTTTTATTATTTTATTATTTTCATATTATCATTTTATTTGACCCCACTTTTCATCTCTCTCCTCTCCACTTCATCTCCTTCACGATTCTTTTTTTTTTCCTTTAAATTTTTCTCTTCTTCTTTACAAATCTAGCATCTAACCCACCACTCTTATTCGACCACCACCACCGGATCCGGCCAACCCCAACCAACCCCGCGAAAATCTGCGCAAATCCAGCCACTCACGTCTAATCCCACGGCGATTTGTCCTCCACCCACTCCATTTCATCTTCACGGCTCTTCATACTCCGAATTATCCACATTTTTTCTTCACACCGAATCTATGTATCCTTCTTCAAGTCAACTTCTCTTTCTCCAGATTTCTACCCAAATCTACATCTCTCTAAAATCCTACCCGCCTCTCCTACTTCTTTTCTCATATTTTTCTCCCCAAAAACACCTATTTATATCCTTTTCCCACTTCTTTGTGGGTATCTTCTCTTTGCGAAAATAAACTCCATTAGTCAACAGGTAAGTTTCACGAAATCTTCCTACTTCCCACTTATTCTCAACTTCCTATGTATTTGACAGTAATTATAGGATTGGAAAGGGTTTAATTTGTATGGATGTTTGTTGATTTATATTTCTTCTATCGGTCGGTTTTGTTATTAGAATATGCATCAGAATGTAGATAGGAGAACAATCGAGATGTTTTGTTTCGTATTAGAATAATCAATTTTTAACTTCATTCAATTCCGCAATGTTTTTTTTCCCTTCTGTATTCGATAGTCGCATAACAACAAAGTTTTCCGACTAAAATGTCTTTTTTTTTCTTTGTTTCAGACAATGATTGGATTTTTCATAGTGTAGATTTTCATTGTTCATAAATCAATCAGAAAATATTATTTGTTTTTTCAAGATGTATTGCAAGGAAAAATAAAGTACTCTTTAAGCATTTGTGATGGCAAGGTCGTCCTCGCCTGCTCCGATCCATCTGACTCTGAAATAGTTACATTTTTTTCCATTGGAAATGGAATTGTACTTATTGAAATCTTGATTTTTGATTTCAATAGTGGATAAAAATTGAGAAGTGGATTTTTATTTAAACAGTGGATTTTTTTTAATATTTTTTGTGTTCTTTATCACAATTTAATCCCCCATTTTATATTTTTTTGTGTTCTTTATAATAATTTAATTCTTTTTTGTAATATTTTTTTGTGTTCTTTATCAAAAATAGCAAACATGGTTACGAACACGTCCTTCATTCGCGAAATTGTTTCGGGCAAAAAGACTGATTGGAAAATATTGGTTCGGGTCATACGTCTGTGGTTCGTACCAGATAAGTGGAATCCGAAAGAGAATGCTGGCATCGAAATGGTTTTTATTGACGAGGAGGTGATTGTGCTTTTATATTTTTTATTATGTGTATTTTTTTATATATTTATGTTTAGAGTATTCAAAACATAATTATCCTTCTGACATTTATCTT